GGCACACGCACACGTGTGCACACACGTGCACATTCTCCGCCCCCAATCTCTCTCTCTCGCTCTCTCGCTCTCGCTCTCTCGCTCTCTCTCTCGCTCTCTCTCTCTCTCTCACAAACACACACACACTCTTTCTCTTGCATGCGCACGCGCACACACATACATGAATTTATGGGTTGAATTTGTATTCACAGATACGTTCTATTTTGTTCAAAAAGCACATAATTTATAGATAGTCAGTCAATTTGGCATTTTATAAATTCCTACTTTAGAATAAAACCAGTCTGACTCCAAACCAAAACGCAAACAGATCCTAAACAAGGCCTCACACCTAACATTCATTGATCACCACCTCAAAAAAGTTCCACCAGATTTGTTGGGCATGACCTCCCTCAAACAAAGACATGCTGAGTCTCCCTGATCAAACCTTTCCTCTGTAGTTGGAGGCATTGTTTTTCCCCTTCACTGTTTCCTCCAGTAGTTTCACTACCACTAATGTCACCTCTTCTTCAACTAATGAAACCTTTAGTTCTCTGAGGACAGTGACTTGAAAGGAACTTGGGGATTTATGTTATACAATGAATTAAAACCTTCTGACTGATTAAAGATTTAACAGCATCTTTGTTTAATACATCCTCAGTAGTGGTGTGACCTCTTGATCTTTTACTGATAAATTCTGTGTCTGATACTACCTCTTTCACTAACACCTGAAGAAGCAGTAAGACTCTGAAAGCTTGTGCTTTCAAATAAACTTGTTGGATTATAGCCTGGTGCCACGTGATTTCTGACCTTGTCCACCCCAGGCCAACACTGGCACCTCCTATCATCAGATAGAAAAGCTCTTGATTGATGAGATCGTGTTACATGGAGAAGGCAGGAGAATGGGATTGAGAAACGTACCAGACGTGATTAAATGGTAGAGCAGACTCGCTGAACCAAATTTTACAAGTACAGAATTCGAGAACATGGATTGTGAAATTCTTGAGCAGGTTGATGTAAGAAGGAAGGAGACATTGGAGGTTTTGGTATATTTAAAAGTGGACAAATCCCCGGGTCTGAATAAGTTGTATCCCAGTTTGTTGTGGGAGGTGAACGAGGAAATAGCAGAGGCCCTGACGCAAATTTTTAAAGAACCTCTGGCCAAGCGGAGATACCAGAGGACTGAAAGACGGCTAACTTTCCAGAGAACTATAGACCAGTGAGTCTAATATCAGTGGCAGTGAAACAATTGGAGGAAATAGTGAAGGAAAAAAAATTACTTCCATCTACAGAGGAAAGGTTTGATCAGGGAGAGTCAGCATGTCTTTGTTAGAGAGAGGTCATGCCTAACAAATCTGGTGGAATTTTTTGAGGTGGTGATCAAGTGTTTGGCTGAGAGTGGAATTGTGATATGGTTTACATGGATTTCAGCAAGGCCTTTGACAAGGTCCCATGTGGGAAAAGCTCGTCTTATGCAGGGCAACTTGGTAAAATGGATCCAAAATTGGCTCAGTGATAGAATATAGAGGCTGACTGTAGAAGACAGTTTTGTGTGTCTCAATCTGGTATGCATTGACATAGCACAGAGGTCAGTGCTGGGTCCCTTTTATTGTTTGTGACAATCATAAAAGTGGATGAGAATGTGGGAGTGTGATAAGTTTGGGAATGATGCGAAGATTGACTGGGTGGATTCTTGCAGACAACACTTCACCACTTTCTGAATTTAATCAGTGGTAGGTAATTAATGCAAGTCCAACCAACAAAGTCGATATCCCCTGAATGAATTAGGAAGAAAAATTGGCAGCCCAGACACCTGTATTTTAATTGTAGGTAATTGAGTGAGTGAACACACTTTTTAAAAATTATGCCTTTATCACCTTTTTGTCAAAGACTAATGAGCCATGTACTTCAATCAGTAATAAATGGGAATTCTATCTAGAATTACTAATTAATGTAATCCACAGCTGGCTCACCTGCTTCTGGACCACAGTTCCCCTGCATATAGGTCAGAGGAAATGCGTTGCATCTGTTGAGCTCTGTACACTGTTCTGCAATATGTTCTGAATGTTGTAGCCCATCTTGCCAAGTTGGCTGAACATGCAACCCATATTTGCACAAGTCCCAGTGTGCTGTATATTTTTATTTGTTGCCTCATGTTAACGCTAAAGTGAATTCTGTAGCCATGCTACTTCGAGTTCACAATAAGAACATAAGAACTAGGAGCAGGAGTAGGCCATCTGACCCATCCAGCCTGCTCTGCCATTCAATAAGATCATGGCTGATCCTTTTGTGGACTCTGCTCTGTTTACATTAATTTTCCTTTAGTGTTCAAAAATCTATCTATCTTTGCCTTAAACATGTTGATTGAGGTAGCCTGAACTGCTTCACTGGGCAAGGAGTTCCTCAGATTTATAATCCTTTGGGTAAAGAAGTTCCTTCTCAACTCAGTCCTAATTCTGCTCCCCCTTATTTTGAGTTTATGCCCCATTGTTCTAGCCAGTGGAAACAACCTCCCAGCTTCTATCTTATCTATTCCCTTTTATAATTTTATGTGTTTCTATCGGACTCGCCCTCGTTCTTCTAAATTCCAGCAAGCATAGTCCCAATCTACTTAATCTCTCCTCATAAACTACCCCTCTCACCTCCAGAATCAACCTGGTGAACCTCCTTTGCAGCCCCTCCAGGGTCGGTGCATCCTTTGTCAAGTAAGGAGACCAAAACTGTACACAGTACTCCAGGTGTGACCTCACCAGCACCCTATACAGCTGCAGCATAACCTCCCTATTTTTAAACTCCATTCCTCTAGGAATGAAGGGCAATATTTGATTTGCCTTCTTAACTGCCTGCTGCACATGCAAACCAACTTTTTGTGATTCATGTGCAAGAACACCCAGGTCACTCTGTACAGCAGCATGCTACAATTTTTCACCATTTAAATGATGGTCTGTGTTGCTGTTATAGCTACCAAAATGGATGACCTTGCATTTATCAACATTGTGCTCCATTTGCCAGACCTTGCCCACTCACTTTTTAATCTATATCCCTGTGCAGACTTTGTGTCCTCTGCACATTTTGCTCTACCACGCATCTTAGTGTCATCTGCAAACTTTCACACACTATACTTGATCCCCAACTCCAAATAATCTGTTGTATGTCAATTGTAAACAGTTGTGGTGCCAAGACTGATCTCTCAGGCACACCACTAGCCACTGTTCTCCAACCACGAAAGTAACTATTTAGCCCCACTGTTTACCTTCTGTTAGTTAACCAATCCTCAGTGGATGCTAATACATTAGTTGTAACACTGTTCATGTTTATCTTATGCAGCAGCCTTTTGTGCAGCACCTTATCAAATGCTTTATGGAAATCCAAATATATCTCATCCACCAGTTCCCCGTTGTCCACTGCGCTCATAATGTCCTCAAAGAATTCCAGTAAATTAGTTAAACATGACCTGCCTTTCATGAACTCATGCTGGTTCTGTCCAATGGGACAATTTCTATCCAGATGCCTCACTATTTCTTCCTTGATGATAGATGCAAGCACTTGCCCCACTACAGAAGTTAAGCTAGGACTTATAGTGACCTACCTTTTTGTCTCCCTCCGTTTTTAAACAGTGGCATCACATTTACTGTTTTCCAATCTGCCGGAACTGCCCCAGAGTCCAGCAAATTTTGGTAAATTACCACAAGGGCAGTAACAGTGCAGGGAATTACAGGTGTGATTTCAGTCCAGGCCATGATGCAGATCTTTCTTTATTATGATGTACTATTTAATTTACCATCCTGAGGGTACTGACTGATATCCGAATTGTTTGTTTGTTTCTGTGTAACCATATTCATCAATCCATTGACAGAAAACAAGATTTAAGATTTTGGATTGTCATGATCTGCAGGTAGTGATGCCATCTTTTACCTAGTGTTTCTTTCATTCGAAGTAAATCACAAAAAGAATAGTACTGTATTCTGTATCCTTTCATACAATTTTTTGTTTAACAAATCATTACCTCTATTTTTCTCTAAAATGATGATTCTCTGACAGGTCGCTCTGAAGTTAAAAATTGATAATTACACCTTTTGGGGTTGTTGATTGCTCCGCTGAGCTGACTGGTTTTCGTGCAAATGTTTCGTCTCCCTTCTTGGTGACATCTTCAGGGCATAGCCTCAAGATTAGAGGGAGCAGATTTAGGACCGAATTGAGAAGGAACTTCTTCACCCAGAGGGTTGTTAATCTATGGAATTCCTTGCCCAGTGAAGTAGTTGACGCTACTTCAGTAAACGTTTTTAAAGATAAGGTAGATTTTTTTTGAACAATAAAGGAATTAAGGGATACAGTGAGAACGCGGGTAAGTGGATCTGAGTCCACGAAAAGATCAGCCATGATCTTATTGAATGGTGGAGCAGGCTCGAAGGGCCGGACGGCCTACTCCTGCTCGTAGTTCTTATGTTCTTATGTCTAACCTCCATTGAAGCGCTGTTGTTCTGTCCCACTCTGAATTTATATAGTCCGTTCTGTCATGGTGGGTAGACAGCACTGAAGAGAAGGGCAATGAAATATTTGCGCAAACCAACCAACAATTCTAACCACAACCTGAGCTACAGATCCTTGTTAAAATATTAAATGACACTTTTTTTTGTTCAAGAAATTGAAGTGGAGAGCTGACAAAATTCCAGATTTCAAATATTGAGAGGGCAATTAATATGTTTAACTGATCTGGGATTTCAAACCAGTTTAGTTGTATTTGTTGTCCGCTGGTATCTGTGGCTTCTTCAAGGAAGGACTAGATAGCTAACATTTCAAAGCTTTTTCTACAGAAACTCTTGCCCCCATCAGACAAGTGTGTGAAGGACATCAGTTGAGCTTTTAATCAGCATGCGTACTGAGGCAGAAATGTTTCGTGCCTTTCATTTGTGAAAATGTTATTTCTGATCAGGTTTCTGTCTGTACATGGAATGGAAGGCTTTTTTGTAAGTGACTTTGTGCACACTCTGCCTTTTGTTAATGCATATTTTGTTTCTCCTAAGTGTTCACAGTTTACTCCCAGACAACAGTTCCACCGATAGTTCAGATGCTGAAGAACTACTGAATAAAAAGCAGAGGTTGAATATGCTGCCTGTCCCACCTGATAGCACCTGCATTGCAGCTCGAGTTCGTCCATTGTTGACCTGTAAAAAGCGGAGGCTTATCAGACCCAACAACATTCAACCGCTGACCCGGAAGGTGAGTGTATTATATGCTGTTGTGAGTGACAATGTAACGTTCATTAACTCCATAACATTTCAGATGGCAGGGCCGCTAAAAGTAACAGGCGATTTGGAGCAGGAATATTTTGTCACATGATATGATTGATGGAGCACTCTTTGAGGCAAAATTGGATGAAGTCGAGGCAGATCTAACGTTTGAGAGGGTGCAAGTCAGTGGAGTAAGGTTTGAACTGCACCAGTAAAGTATCAGCAAAAACCAAAGTGAACCCTCTCAAAAGTATCAACCAGAAGAATTGGAAGTATTTTATGGACTTTGTCATAGAATCATAGAGATAAACAGCATGGAAACAGACCCTTTGGTTCAACTCGTCCATGCTGATTAGATATACTATATAAATCTAGACCCATTTGCCAGAACTTAGAACATAGAACAGCACAGCACAGTACAGGCCCTTCAGCCCACGATGTTGTGTCAAACTTTTGCCCTAATCCTAAGGTCTATCTAACCTCCACCCCTACCTTATACTATCATCCATATGCCTATCTAATAGCTGCTTAAATGCCCCTAATGAGGCCAACTCCACTACCCTCTCCGGCAATGCATTCCACGCCCCGACCACTCTCTTGAGTAAAGAACCTACCTCTGATGTCTCCCCTATATCTACCTCCACTCACTTTAAAACTATGCCCCCTCATGATAGCGACCTCCACCCTAGGAAAAAGTCTCTGGCTGTCCACTCTATCTATACCTCTGATCATTTTGTACACCTCTACCAAGTCACCTCTCATCCTTCGTCGTTCTAAAGAGAAAAGCCCTAGCTCTCTCAACTTTTCCTCGTAAGACCTTCCTTCCATTCCAGGCAACATCGTGGTAAATCTCCTCTGTACCTTTTCCAACACGTTCACATCTTTCCTGTCCATATCTTGGTCCATATCTTTCTAAATCCTTCCTATTCATGTACCTATCCAGATGCTTTTTAAATCTTGTGATAGAACCCGCCTCCACCACTTCCTCTGGCAGCTCATTCCATACACACATCACCCTCTGCATGAAAAAGTTGCCCCTTTGGATCCTTTTGTATCTTCCCTATCTCACCTTAAACTTATGCTGTCTAGTTTTAGATTTTCCCACCCCAGAGAAACAACCTTGCCTATTTACCCTATCCGTGCCCCTCATGATTTTATAAACTTCTATAAGGTCATTCCTCAGGCCCCGACACACCAGGGAAAATAGCCCCAGCCTATTCAGCCTCTGCTTACAGCTCAAACCCTCCAACCCTGGCAACATTCTCGTAAATCTTTTCTGACAACATCCTTCCTATAGCAGGGAGACCAGAATTGTATGCGGTATTTCAATAGTGGCCTATACAATATCCTGTAGAGCCGCAGCATGACCTCCCAACTCCTATATTCAGTGCACTGACCAATAAAGGCAAGCATACCAAAAGCCTGCTTCACTATCCCATCTACCTGCGACTCCACTTTCAAGAAACAATGAACCTGCACTTCAAGGTCTGTTTGTTCAGCAAGACACCCGGGACCTTAACATTAAGTGTATTAGTTCTGCCTAATTTGCCTTTCCAAATGCAGCACCTCATGTTTATCTAAGTTAAACTCCATCTTCCCATCCTTAGCCCATTGGCCCGCCTGATCAAGATCCCGTTGTACTCTGTGGTAACCTTTTGCTGTCCACTACACCTCCAATTTTGGCGTCATCCACAAACTTACTAACCATGCCTCCTATGTCCACATCCAAATTGTTTATGTTAATGATGAAAAGCAGTGGATCTTTGTGGCACACCTCTGGCACAGGCCTCCAGTCTATAAAGCAGCCCTCCACCATCACTCTCTGTCTTCTATCTTTGAGCCAGTTCTGTATCCAAATAGCTAGTACTCCCTGTATTCCGTGTGATCTAACCTTGGTAACCAGCCTCCCGTGAGGAGACTTGTCGATCGCCTTACTGAAATCCAAATAGATCACATCCAGTGTCCTGCCCTTGTGTGTAGTTTATTGGGTTATTTAAATTCAAAATTGTGTGCTTGATGAATGATGCACATCACGTATATTTTATACATGATGCCTACATTGAAAATTCAGTGGCTTTTTACTCATTTTGTCCCTTGGATTTTTGACAAATCCCATCTGATTGAAGCAGAGAAATTCATTATCGTTTATTTATCAAACCCAAAGCAGTGAGCATCTTGGTTTATTTTTGAATAATTATCTATCCTCCTCATTCTCACCAACTGACTCCCCCAAGCCTGACCACCATGTAGGTGACACACATAAGGAGTGTGAGGGAATACTTCCCACTTGCAGCTCCAACAGGACGCGGGAAGCTTCACCCTTTAACAAGCAGCAACATTCGTGAACCCAGGACAAGCAGCCGACTTAATTGGCAAAATCCACAAACATTCAGTCACTTCGCCACCAATACTCAGTAGCAGCAGTCTTACGAAATGTACTGCAGTGATTTGGCAAAGATCATTAAACAGCACCTTCCAAACTTACAACCCCTGCATCTAGAAGGACAGGGGTAGCAGATAATGGGAACACCACCATCTGCAAGTTCCCCTCCAAGCCATTCACCATCCTGACTTGGAAATACATTGCGGTTCCTTCACTATTGTTGCATCAAAATGCTGTAATTTCCTGCCTAGCGCCATTGTGGGTCCACCTATAGCACATAGACTGCAATGGTTGAAGAAGGTAGCTAAGGACAGGTAGTACCCAGCCAGCGGCGCACATGTCCCAGAAGTGAATAAAATATTTAGATAGTACATAATTGAGGCCATAGGACTCTTGTGGCACTCCAATAGTTATGCTTTTCCAAAGTGAAAAAGATCTGTTTATCTTGATTCCATCTTCAGTGTTTTAACCAATCCTCAGTCTGTACGAAGACATTACTCTCAATAGTGTGAGGTCCCATGTTGGCACTTTTATCTGGCACCTTACTGAATGCTTTCTGGACATCCAAAAACACACTATCAGTTCTGCTTGTTTTATCCCCAAAGAGCCATGGTAAACATGTCAGATGTGATTTTCCTTTCACAAAATCATACTGACTGTTTATGTTTGTGTTCAGGTTTTCTGAATGCACTGCTGTTTCTTCCTTAATAGTAGACTCTAACATTTTCCCAGTGACAGATGTGACATGAACTGGCCTACAGTTTCCTGCTTTCTGTCTCCCACCCATCTTGAATAAACAGGTCACAAAAATAGTTTAACAAATAGCTAGAAGCTTTCCAGAATCCAGTCGGTCCTGGAATATTTTGACCAATACCTCCACTTTCTCTGCAGTTAGTTTTAAAACAATTGGATGCGGGCCATCAGGTCCTGGCGAAGTGTCTGCCTTCAGTCCCATTAGTTTGTCAAGTACTTATTGTCCCTTGCGATAGAGTTTGTTGCAAGATCTTTTCTCGAGTTCACACCTTGCTTAGCTGTTTTCTTTGGGATTTTATAGAACCCTCTGCCGTGTAAATGAATGAAAAATGCTAGATGAAATTGTATTTATCAGTTCACCATTGCATCCTCCAAGGGCTCTTCACTCTCTTTAGCCACTTTGTTTTTATATTTCTTAATTTACTTCAATCAGTTTTCACCTTTTGATGAGCCTTACTGCTAGATCCTGGAAGAAAAAAATTCCCTGGCCGACCACTGGTTTACATCATTTTGTATGCCTGAACTTTTGTTTGGATACTGTCCTTGACCACCTTTTGTTAAAGATGGATGGTTCATCCTTCTCATTAAGACCTCCTTTTTGACACAAAGAAATTTTTGCTGAGTGTTACGTAATGTCTGTTCATCCACTGACTTTCCTCTTAATCTATTTTCCTGCCCACTTTAGACAGCTCTTTCTTCATACCCCTGTAATTGCCCTTATTTATGTTGGAGACACTGATTTGAGACCCAAGCTGCTCTCTCTCAAGCAGAAATTGAAGTTCTTCCATGTTGTGATTGCTACCCATGAGAGGATCCTTAGCCATGAGATCTCTTAATAACCCTCCCTCACTATCCATTAATAGATTTAAAACAGCCTGTTTATGGGTTGTTTGTGCAAAGTTAACAAAGCTGCCTGATCTCCTTTTCCTTTTTGCTGATTTTTTTTTTGCCTGGAACAATTATTGAGTTCCCGGTCTTGGTCACACTGCAACTACATCTCTGTTGGTAGGAGTAAATTATAATGACTTGTTAGCTACATGTGCTGTCAAGTCATCTGTCTTTTTACAAGTGTTGCATGCATTCATTCATTAAAAAAGCCTTAAGCTTTGACTTTTTACCAAGTTAACTTTCTCTTTTTGTAATTTCTGCTGCATTCTTCTATACAAATTTTCAATCCCTTTTTGTAACACTTTGATTATTGTAACAGAGTTGTTGTGGCTGCATACACTTCTACATGCATTTCGTAGCCTGGATAGTGATAGTAGAGACTCCAGCTTTCTGTCTCTCATGCCTTGTTAGGAATGCCTCCCGCTGTTACTCCTAGCATTGATGATTGTTGGAAAGATTTATGAATATGCCTATCTTGGCCATCAAGTCCTTGGATGAAACTTCAATCCAGAGCTTCTGCCTAAGCAGCAGGAAAGCTATCCATTGCATCACAAAACTTCCATACTTTCTGGTGGATCATTAGGATTAGGATACAATGAGTGACTTGGGTTAATGTGTGGACACTAGAGAAACTGAAATTGTTTCTGCAGCAGAGGGTTAAGGAGATATTGAAGAAGTATTGAAAAGAAAGATTTTGATGGAGTAAATAAGGAGAAACTGATTCCACCAACAAGAGGATATTCGGCAAAAGAATTAGCAAAGAGATGACTCTCTGTGCGCAATATCATATGTGTTTTCTGAGAGAGCAGCATTTTGCATAAGCAAAATATTATTTAGCAGACCTTTCCATGGAAAGGATGAAACAACTTTTAAAAGGGGTGAGCAATCAGTCAGAAATCGTGACCTAGTTTGAAACCAGTGACAGAAAATATTTGAAGAGAAGTTGGACTGTTCTAATTGAAAACAGTAAAATCTTGCAACTTGAAAGATCAAGTGTTGCATGTTTTAAAAGCAAAGTACTACAGATCCTGCATATCTGAAATAAGTGCAAAGTACTGGAGAAACTGGCAGCATTTGTGGACACAATATAGTTTACAGTTCAAGTCTGGCATGACCCTTTGGAACACATTTGTTAAGTTGTATCCATATAACGTTGCGTTTTGGGGTCAACAAAAGGGAGAAGGTGAGACAACTGGACCAAACATCTTTCAAATTAAGGAAATTCTGCCTCACAACAGCTCTGGTTAAGCTTCAGTGTGTTGTAATAAAACCACAACGTCTAAGAGCAGAAGAGAATGAAAATATCTAGCGTGCAAATAGCATTGTGTATCTTTGTGTGGGGTAAAGACAGAAAACCCAGAAAGCTTAAAAGAATTCACACAAGATCTAAGTTCATCTGCTTAACCATCAAATCAAAGGACCACCATCACGCTATAGACACTAGCTTCTCAGGGTTACAAAAGTCAAAAGGATTCTGAGAGGTCGAAGACTTTTTGCCTTTGGCTTGGACTTCTGATTTTTAGAATTTTGTTTACTCTAATCTTTTTCCAATACTTGAGGAAGTAGCCTGAGAACATTGGTCATCTTTCAAGATTATAAAGACTCTGGAACAGTTCCTGTGGATTAGAGGGTAGCTAATGTGATCACGCTTTAAAAAGAGAAAGCAAGAAACCAGATTAGCTGGGCATCGGTACTAGAGAAATGCTAGAATCCATTATGACAGGCAGAGCACTTGGAAAACAGTGTCAGGATTGGACAGAATCAGCATGGATATAACTAGTAGGGTTGATAGGGGGAACCAGTGGATTGGTTTTACATGGACTTTCAGAAGGCTATCCATAATGTCCCGTGTAAGAGATCAGTATTTAATATTACATCTCTGAACAGACTGATTATTACACACTTCTGGAGCAGGTAGAACTTGAACCTGGGTGTCTCGGTCTGGGGTAGAGATTCTACTGCTGTACTGCAAAAGGGCCCCATATCCTATTTATTATCTGTCAACCAGGCGTCCCTGATTGGCCCACGTTAACAGCACCAATCAAGGATCTCATAGTCTATAAGGTCCACCTGGTTCCAAATCACTTTATCAGCAAAATCAGGAAGAAAGATGATTACCTGAATGGTGACAGATTATGAATGGGAGAAGTGCATCAAGACCTGGGTGTCTTTGTACACCAGCCACTGTAAGTGAGCATAGAGGTGAAGAAAGCAAATGATATTTTGGCCTTCAATGTGAGAAGATTTGAGCAGGGATGTCTCACAGCAATTGTACAGACCCTTGGTGAGACTATACTTGGAGTATAGTGTGCAGTTTGGTTTCCTTACCTGAGGAAGGTTGTTCTAGCTATGAAAAGGATGCAGCAAAAGTTTGCCAGACTGATTCTTGGGCTGACGGAACTGATGTATGAAGAAAGCCTGGATTGGTTAAGATTATAATCAATGACGGGGGATCACATAGAAACTCATGAAATTCTAACAGGACAGATAGTGTTGAGGAAGTGGGAAGGCTGCAGACATACTTGGACAGACTAGGACAGTAGACAAAGAAGTGGTAGATGGAATGCCATGTGTGAAAATCCTGGTTTATGCACCTTGGTGGGAAGAATAGAGGCATAGATTATTTTCTATATGGGAAAAGACTTCAGAAATCTGAAGCACTTTTTAAAAATTCATTCACAGGATGAAGGCATCACTGGCTAGGCCAGAATTTATTGCCCATTCCTAATTACCCAGATGGCAGTTAAGGATCAGCCAACTTGAGCTTCCTAGTTCAAGATTCTCTTAAAGTTAATATGCAGGTTCAGTTGGCAGTTAGGAAGGCAAATGCAATGTTAGCATTCATTTCAAGAGGGCTATATTACAAAAGCAGAGATGTACTGCTGAGGCTGTATAAGGCTCTTGTCAGATCACAGTTAGAATATTTGTGAGCACTTTTAGATCCCATATCTATGGAACAATGTGCTGGTATTGAAGGGAGTCTACAGGAGGTTTACAAGAATGATCCTGGGATATAGAGTTTGTCCTATGGGAAGTGGTTGAAGACTCTGAGTGTGTACTCAGTGGAGTTTAGAAGGTTGAGGGGGGATCTCATGAAAACTTATAAAAGACAGAGGCCTGGATAGAGTGGACACAGAAGATGTAGTATCTAGTATCATAGAATCGTACAATCCCTACAGTGTGGAAGCAGGCCGTCTGGCCCATTGAGTCCTCACCAACCCTCTGAAGCGCATCCCAACCAGACCCACTCCCCTCCCCTATCCCTGTAACCGTGCATTTCCATGGCGAATCCACCTAGCCTACACATCGCTAGGCACTGGACAGCTTAGCGAAGCCAATCCACTGTAGGAGAAAACCAGAACACCCAGGGGAAGCCAACGCAGACACAGGGAGAATGTGCAAACTCCACACAGACAGTTGCCCAAGGCTGGAATCGAACCTGGGTCCCTGGCGCTGTGAGGCAGCAAAGCTAACCACTGAGCCACTATGCTGCCCAGAGGTAGTAGGAGAGACTAGGACTCCAGGGCACAGCCTTAAAGTGAAAGGATGACCCTTTAAAACTGAAATGAGCAAGAATTGGCAGTGAATCTGTAGAACACATTGCCACGTAAGGCTGCAGAGGCCAAGTCACTGAGTGAACCTTCTGTGTCCCCTTAGTTCGCAGTTGTAGTTTCTACCTGACACCTGTCAAGCACATTTTATTTTATTCTTTATCTTAATTTCTACCTCTCTTTTTTTTCATCCAGGAAGCTCTGGATTTACTTGTCCTTTCTTTGCTTTGTGAGAAAATAGGCCTTGACTGTATCTGAACCATTTCTTTCTTGAAGGTAGCCAAATATTCAGATGAGGTCTGTGTTGACTGAATATGATCTGCATAAATACTGAGACTGTCAGGAGCGCACTTGCTTCTGGTCTTATCAATCAACTTCTGTTTTATCCTGCCTGAATCCTTTTGTCGTCAACAAGTAGTGCACACAAATCTAGCATTAACCCTTTCAGACTTAAATACAGCAGGGAAGGCTTTTTTTTTTACAAGTGTTTGAATGAATCAAAAGGTTACTAGTGTGCTCTGGAGAAGATAATAAACAATGAATATGGCAGCAGCTGGGAAATTTGAGGTTAGACAAATGGACGATCATAAAATAGTGAGAATCTTTCAGGAGTGAAAGGATAGTAAGAGGCTTTGACATAGTGAAAGACAGTAAGGATTAAATTCCTGTAGAGTCTCTTATGGCCTTAAGATGTTGTAAAAGCCCTTTGAAATCCATGAAGTACATTTGAAGTTGGATTACAAAGAACAAAGAAAAGAACAAAGAAAATTACAGCACAGGAACAGGCCTTTCGGCCCTCCAAGCCTGCATCCACATGCTGCCCATCACAACTAAAACCCCATACCTTTCCGGGGACTGTATCCCTCCATTCCCATCCTAATCGTGTATTTGTCAAGACGCCTTTTAAAAGTCACTATCATATCTGCTTCTACTACCTCCCCCGGCAGTGGGTTCCAGGCACCCGCCACGCTCTGTGTAAAAAAAAAAAAAAACTTTTTCACATAGCCACTCTTTTTAAAATGAAGAAAAGTAATTTATTTAATGTGTTAAAAGAAGAATGTTTTATTTTGCCATACTAAAGGGTTTTTTGGATACATAAAGGTATTCATTTAAAAGATCTCCTTTCAAGTGCCAAGTAAAGGTATCCTTCATTTCAAATGTGAAGTGAAAAAATTTATAGTAGACATGAATGCTAAAATAAATTATTTGTTTTCTTAACACAAGATTTTTTTTTACCTCATAATTAGATACAAACAAGATTGTAAGTGACTACTGGAAATTTTGCAATGTTAATTGTCTTAATTCATTTTACACAAATCTCTTTAGCACTGCATCAAGTTGCGTTGTTTTAGTATTATTTCTTCTACATCTATGGTAACATGTTAAAAATATTTTTGGCTTGTGGATATTTTTGTTTCTGATGGTGATCCATATCCATGTATTCCTTGATATTGGGACATATGAGAAAATTTGTTTCATACAGCGATGGAAACATTTCAAGGGAACGTTACTGCCAATCACTGTTTCCAGTGTCTGTGCCATGCCAGTCATTGATTGTTTTACCTGTGCCTGTTTGCAGACCCAGCGTCCTCTTGCAGTGCGATGTAACTGTGATGTCACAACTTCTTGCATTATGTGTGGATCCAAGAATTCAGAGTCATTTGAGAATTGCTATGACATGCCCATGTCAGAGCGGCTTGCGCTGTTGGACCCCTGTCTCCACCCGGTCCTTTCAATTTCTGATGGTAAGTTTCGTAACGGCTGTGGCTGAGTTACATTTTCGGCATTATGAACATGGTTCTATGGCATTTTAAGATGTGACTTCACAGCAAAGGGATTCTTGGCTCTTAACATGTATATTGCATTATGCACTTCTGTGAATATATTGAGTTTAAACTTCTGATTTAATTGCACAGTAAGTGTTTCAGATTATGTTTTAATTATACAGCATAATTCTACTTTTCTTAACCTGAATACCTTGCACATCATCAATGTGTTAGTTGCATGTGAACTGAAGGTGTTGGCATTTTAGTTACAAAGTATGTGTTTCGGCTTCCTGTCTAATTCCATGTACATTACAGTTGCATGCTTTGTGTCCCGTTGTGTGTTCTGTTTATACATCCTGGATCCTAACTAATACTTTAATTGCACCTTTGTAGGTTGTTAATTTTTTTGTTTTGCATCAGTCACCTAAAAGTACATATCCACATCCCAGGAAATGGTCATAAAGAGGATGTCACTGGCCTGGCCAGTATTTATTGCTAATCCTAATTGCTCTTGACAACACAGCAATGAGCTCCCTTTTTGAACCAGTACATGACAGTAGTTTTGTGACAATCCCCAGTAATGGTCAGATGCAGTTATCCCTTGCGCTGCTAGTCAGGCTTATTGAGATTTATACCCCTGCTGTTAAAATATGGTACAATCTTGATTCAAGTTACATTTTACTCTTCGTCTGAAAGGAGTTCAACTCCATATGCAATTAGGATTTATTGCATTGCATTGAATGAGCGTGTCAGCTGATTTTCCTCCTCTGCACAGTGCCGGAGTCCTGCAGACCTGGAAACTTCTTTTTTTTGCTTGTTTAGTAGTTACACATGGATTATTGTCACAGGAAAGCTTCAAAATGGAATTTTATCAGCCAACTAATGATTTTCTTCGCTTTAACCCTTTTGAGATTCTCTGATTCATTGAGGAACATAAGATAAATTGTCAATCCTTACATTTTTGATTCTCAATTAATTTTGGTGCACCTCATAACAGGAGTACTGAATTCTTGAATTTGGATTGCATCAAATTTAATTTGGCCTCTTAATCTTGCTATTGACAATTTGACTGACCATTTGCACCTTTTTTGATCTCCAGGGATGAGAGAGTATTTCAAAGCCTTTGGAGCTTGTTGTCTCTTGCACCATCAAACTCCTGTTCATCTCAAAGAGCTGTCTGTTTTCTTATTTGGGTTCAATCCCTTTCACCCGTCACCATTGTGCTTGTTAAGGTTACCTCTGGTTGCCTCTGTAAATGTTTTCAAAATTCTCGTGCTTGTATTAATATCGTCCTATGTACTTCTTCCTCATCTCTGTAATTACCTAGATACCCCTGTGAGAACTGTGTGTTTCTTGAAGTTTGACCTGTTGTATTCTTCATTTCCTTTGCTCCTCTTCTGGCAGAGATTCCTGAGTCTTTTGCTCTGCTGTTCATTGTCTAATTATTTCAGTTGCCTTCCTGCTCCTCCTCAATACAACTCTGTCCAAGATTTTGATTGTTTGTGTTAATATTTCCTTATGTAATTTGCTCAATAACACTCCTTTGGAATATTTTTTTTCAGTGGGTTCATGGTGATTTTTAAATGTGCATTATTATTGAGACATCCAAGCACGGAATAAGTTATGTCATGACTTAACTAGGATCAGTGAATCAATAATTATGCTCCACTGCTCTAGGGGTCATCACACAATGTGTAGATGTACAAGAATGCCACTGAAATTACAGAAACATCTGACTGGTACCCAGAGAAAGCAAACCGCACACTGAACTTTAACAAGAACTGTAAAAGAAAGGAGTTATAATTTTAAATTGCATATTAACTTCAAACCCCCTGATTCCCCAGTGCACGAACATGCAATCTCAGTCACAATTAAGACAGACTAAACATGAATCATTTAACAAATATAGCATGGGTAGAAAAATAATGTAGATTGTGTAAACCAAACTTAAAAGATCAAAAGTCCAGGCCACAAGGTGGAAAGTCATTTTGTTGTCTCTTATTAAATTTTGTAACAACAAGGTGCTGTTGTCTGTAGAATGATGATCATCCTTTGATTCAATGGTTGATCAGGTATTTGGGTCTTTTTTTCCCATGTGTTCTTTCTTCTTCAGCCTGACTGCAGACTGCATGTTTTCTCACTGTAGTCACTTACACAGCTCTTTAACACTGCAGCTCAACCAATCAGAGTTGTCAGATAAAATTTTCTTAACTCATCAATACTTGGTGCTATTCAGTATCAACTTTTCCCTCTCTTTTACTTCCAAACATTGTATGACATGACTAAACAAGCTGCTTTTCATCAGTGTGCTGGTTGATTAAAGCCATTATTGTTTTTTTTACAGTTGTACTGGACCATGTGCTTCAAGTTTGGCTCATGCAATCTTGGAAATGAAACTTGAGCCATCCACTCACCATGCAAGCTTGACACCTAAGTAGGGAGCATCAAAGTTTTGCTGTTACCTGGATCAGATCACTGCTCACTACATCTTGTGCACACTCAAAAAATGACCCTATAGTCACCACTTTCAACTGAACACTTGTTTTTGCAAGTTGCAAAACTTTCCTGTTTTTCAATTGGAGCAGAATTTCACTAGTGAACAATCAATCCATTTACTGCCCTGCCAGTCTTTTTATAGGGTCATAGAGGTCTGCCGCACAGAAAAATCCTCTTTGGCCCATTGTGTCTATATGAGTCAGAAGCAACCACGCAAACAGTCTAATCCCATTTTCCAGCACTCGGCCCATAGACTAGTATGCCTTGACAATGCAAAGAAACTTGTGTAAATGTGCTGAGGAAAGATACTTTGTGTCCAAAAGTTCTACTTTGCACTCATCATGACAGACTGCCAAATTTACAAGGGAATGACAGTTAACATGAAAAATGTAGGCGTGAACTACTGTCCTCCACGTATTTATTTAATTTGAAAAAATTGTAACTTGCATGCTCCTTTTTCATGCAGAGTGCATTGAGTGAGCCGCTCGTGTACTACTACATGGCAGCAGCATGGAGCAATTAGCTTTGCCAGAGTCTGAAATCTTTGAGATAACCTGCCTTTCAGACACTCTGAGGTAGATTCAGTAATTTTCGGGTCTGAGAGTGTTAACTATAGGCCCGTTTTGTGACTGTGCAAGATGTAGTGAGCAGTGATCTGATCAGGCTAACTATTATCGCACAGGAAAGCTTTGATGCTTTCTATTTTAAGTGTCAAGCTTGCATGGTGAGTAAATGGCTTAAGACATATTTACACAATTGCTGATGGGCCAATCCTATGAAATATGGCTCAGGGAAGATGGCATGTGGTAGGCAGTTGTAAAAAAATCGATAGCAGATTTCTCATTGAGGAAATGAAACCCATTAGACTGTTCTATTTCAAAGGCAAATTTGTGTGGGATCGAGCAGATTAAGGTGTACAAGGAAATTTTCACACGCAGCTACAGATTCAAATATAGCAAAGGTATATTTGTACGTAATAAAAATATGCAAAGTTTAGGGGTCACTACATCCAAAACATGTTTCTCGTGTGAGCCAATGGAAATGTTAGTGAGAGCTGGCTGAAAGCAATGATAGTGCCATTGCCATTTGGGCATTTGTGGTTTCATTAAAGTTGAATTCAACTGTGCAAGTTGCTAAGCTCATGAGTTAAATGAATACAGATTTGAATTAATTGGATGGATGAAACCAACCATGTTTTTAGGCAGCTGCAACAAGAGTTGTATTATTCACTAATAGAATGTTGCCATCAAATCAAAACTACTTTCTGCCTACAGCACAAATGAGGAATGTGTGTGAATTTCAGTGCCAGTACAATGCCAAGTGTGTAGGCTATACATCACTACAACTGGTGAACTGCATCAAACAGTATGTCCCATCAGCTGCTCACAATAGGTAGAGTAGTGATGACGTTCAGCTAGCCCATTTCTGCAGAGTTCACAATTGAGTTTCTGAAATTGACCAGTGCTTGCAGAAGATTTCTGAATGTGCTTAGAATTCCCCAATGATCAATTTTAAGATGCAGTCGGTATAGCTTTTTTTTTGGGCTGGAGCTGCTTGTATTCATAAGCAGGGACCTGTCCAGGTCAAAGAAATGAGTGAAGACAATTCATTTCACTCTCCTTTTCTAAGGCTGTATCAAGCATTCATAAGAAAAGTCATCTGACTCATAAAACTGGTAGTGTTAAATGCGAAATGAATAGAGGAGAGTTTGGATATTAGAATTAAGGAATTGTTCTCGTCATTGTGTAACAAAACAATTTGTTATCTCTGATTGTGGATTATCATTACTGTCAAATATAAGTAGAAAAGCATGATGATGTTATCCCCTCGCCCCAGCTCAGAGCCCTTCTCTCTTCAACCTGCAGAGGACCTCTGCTGTTCTTTGTCCTCAGAAGGATCCACACCCTCAGCAAACACTTTTTCTCTGCTCTATCAGACATCAAAGCATCTGCAGTCCTTACTGTCTCTGAGTCATCTCCAGCCTTACGTCACCACTGCATGCAGACAATTATTGCAAACTGAGAAGGTCATGCCTCTGTTTCTTGGCAAATGAGAGCAGAACCAGAAATAAAATAAAAACGTGTATAGAAAGCAAAGGCACATTGATGTCTCTAGTGGAGTTGTTTGTTAGACATGATATCCCTCCAAAATGTTAAGCTGCATGTATATCTATGGGCTAAGTCTCCTGCTGTTTTTCCCATCCCTTACTGCTCTCCTGCATATGTTCTCCTTGCTTTCCCCAGGCTTCTCCCACAAAAATAAAAGCCACTGGTCCTACTTCATGCATTTATTTGGAACTCATCTGCTTTTCTGCAGAAGCAGTTTCGGTTGGGGAGCAAACTGAACTTGGGACATATCATAGATGACACAGTATGGAGCTGGAAGAACACAGCAGGCCAGGCAGCATCAGAAGAGCGGAAAAAATGACGTTTCGAGTCAGGACCATTCTTTAGAAATGGGGAGGGGGAAGGGAGCTCAGAAAT